GATATACGGCAATGAAATCCCACCATTCTTTTAGGAACAATTATTTAGATGAACTTCGGCTTGAAAGAGAGATTCCGCACAGTGTTTTGTCGGAACTCGGGTGCAGCATTGCCGAGGAGAAAATATCGGAAGAAGGAAAATCCCCGGACATCGTGTGTTGAGTGATTGGCTCCCATTCAACAGTGTAACCGCGTTCTATTTTTAAGTTGCCAAGAAACTTAACATCGGAATGAGGTCGTACGAACTTTTTACATTCGTCAAAATTTGTTCGAACACAAAATGGAGAAAAATAAAACCCAACCGAACTTTCGCTTCTCACTTGTCAGAAGTTTTGTTTGCATTTCGAAACAGAATGACCTGGCCGAGTAGAGACTAGACAAACGCAGTAACTAACCCAGGGATTTATAGGCCGCGCCATAGTTCAAGCGGTTAGTCGCTGGCTTCCCACCGCGGCGGCCCTGGTTCGATCAAGTGGGATTTGTGGTGGACAAAGTGGCGCTGGGGTAGGTTTTCTCCGAGCACTTCGGTTTCCCCTATCAATCTTCATTCCACCAATTGCTCCACAATCACCCTCACCTATCATCTGGGGCTGGTACAATAGGCCAGAAGTGGTCACAGTACAAGGGACTTAGTCCCACCCCACTAGCAATAAAAAAACCCAGGGATTTAGTTTTCTAATATGGTTATTTAACGACGCTATCAAAATATGGAACAGTTGGTGGAATTTTTATTGACAGTATTGGGAGAACACTGGCCGAAAACCATTTTGTGCACCACAAATCACACGGCCTGATATACGATGGAACCCGAGCTGTCGCGGTGACAAGCCAGAGATCACAGTTGAAATAAATTGGTTCAAATCAGACGCATCTGTGGTGGGCTCACAGGATAGTGTAATTCTCATTGAGGCGGGTTAGCAAGTTGCAAAAGTTTGACATCGCAGTGTTGTACTGACATCTGCCGGTTTACTGAAGTTTTGGTTAGAATCGAACAAAAATGGCTTTCACGCTACGCTGCATGAACATTCTTCCAGAAACGTGACCATAATATTCACAGAATAGGCCGCGCTATAGCTCAAGTGGTTAGTCGCTGGCTTCCCACCGCGGCGGCCCGGGTTTGATCCCGGGTCTGGTCAAGTGGAATTTGTGGTGGACAAAGTGGCGGGTTTTCTCAGAGTGCTTCGGTTTCTCCTGCCAATCTTCATTCCACCAAATTCTCAATCATCATAATCACCCGGGGCAAGTACAATAGGTTAATAAGTGGCCGCCGTGCCGAGTGGACCCAGATGGACCCCACCCCCCACTAAGCGAATTAAGAAAAATTAACAATATTCACAGATATAGAGAACAATTTCATTCTCAGGGAAATCTGAGATACCTGTTTTTTTAAACACAAAATTCAAAACAACAACGAATTCAGCCCAAATTCCATTTTTAAGAAATGTTATTTGTCGAGAATTCAAATCGCATATGCGCATGCATCTGTGATGTTGCGTGGTATGCTTCTGGTTCTTGTAGTTTGATTGCGATCACTCAATTGTCCTGGGGAATATGTGCTGAAAGTCCATATTTTAAAGCTTTGTTTACTGACAGGCTGAAAGGAGATGAACCTCAAATAAATACAATGAACTTGGATATTCAAGACCATATACGTGACCTCATTTTGGATTATGCTTATACAGGTCATTGTAACTGGATCGCCCCCAATTGTCTTTCTTATAAACATTTTTCAGGAAACGAACAGAAAGCACAGTTTCCAGCAATTTCTCTTTCGTTATGTGCGGTTACCTAGCGATAGCCCAGATGCTGTTGACGCACGTTCCTTCTCGCGACTGTTGCGCAGCAACAGTATCCCATGCTACAGTATTACTGAAACTGTGGACCGCACAAAATTTGCATCGGAACGCATCTCTATTTATAACGTGGGAGTCAATGTAGAAATTTGGTTCGCGTTAGGGAATTTCACATTTTACAGAAAATATTGCTTCAGTAAATGGGGGGGGGGGAGGTTGCTGTGTATATAACTCTGGCATGTTTTTAACAAGATCAGTCCATGGGTCACACACTGTTGTACACGACTTATGTTTTTATTATAAGAAATCACATGGATTTGAGACATGACCGAGGCTGGAAACCAGTATAAAGAAGCCGAAATTAGGTACTATGACACCTTGCAGATGCAATCTAGGGACTTCTTATGGTTATTTCAGTCTTTTCCTGCAAAGGCACGGGTTCAGTGTCCTCTGGCGTTTGCTTATTAATGATGTGAACAATATGGCATAGAATGATTTGGGACACTGAATAATTGGACAGGATGTGAAAGGAACTTGTCGTGACCTAATATAAAGTGCTATAGCGGCATTTGCCTGAGGGACTGAGGAAAACCACGAAACAGGTCAGTATATCGATAGCCCGACTGAGGAGTATCTCTTGTCGTGGACATATTTAGTGAGTTTTTCAACAGCAAGTTATATTGTGTCGAGTAACGAACTCTACGTGGAAGAATCCTACTTGTGAAGCTGACAGTCACTCAGCTAGTCACGAAATATCCCGAATTTTATGGAACTGAGGGTTCATTACCGTATTCACTATAGCCGGTTACTGGACCCTTTCCTTAGGCGCCCTCACATATATTCATTTTAAACAGCGTTGGTAATACCCACGTAACAGGCTGGTCTAGAGATAACGGTCTATGCTTGTATCCAGGTAGTGCTCGGTTCGAATCTCGACAGGGACACTCGCCACCCTGAGGTTCTTCATAGTTTTCCTCATCCCCTCCAACAAATGCAGGGGCGGTATCTAGATTAGGCCACGACCTCCTTCCTCCGAATCCTTTTCATCATTCATCCTACCAGCCGACACTATATAGCCTAGATACTGACATCCTGCCATCTACGACTAGGACTGCTTAAGTGGTGTCTTCCCTTCAGGTTTCCCAAGATCATGTATGCGTTTATCATGTCTGTTTGATGAATACAGCGTCCAATGAGTACACGACTATAAGTGATGAACTGAGGATCTGGAAGGAAGCTGTCGTGGTTTGTTCTAATGTACTGTTCCAGAATATGCCCGGAGGGACAGAAAGTTAAGACAAATCCTAGGGTAGCAGGCCTTCGGTCAGTTGATCGAACACGGGACCTCCCGAATACGAAGCAGAAGTCAGCCACTTCACCAAGATGTTTTTCGGGCAGTAAGTTAAGAAAAATCCTAGGGTAGCAGGCCTTCGGTCCGTTGATCGAACACGGGACCTCCCGAATACGAAGCAGAAGTCAGCCACTTCACCAAGATGTTTTTTCGCAACTGTTGTTTTCCTACCACATGTGCGTCTCTTTAAGAGATGTCTTCATGTACTTTCTCGAAATGGCCTTAAAAACCCTCTAAATTAGGGACTGCATGGGTCCAGCCACAGAAAACTTGGCGGGGGAGGTGTGCGGGCTTGTACCGCGTCGTATATTGGCTTTCGTTACTGCGTATTTTCCAGGTTTTAAATAGCACCCAACTCTCCATGCACCTCGGAAACCATGCTCCGGTTGGGAGGAGACCCGACTGTTTCCAAACCCAACAGCTCCTCACTGGAAATAAGCCAAATTATTCTGCGAAAATGGAGAGGGGAGGCGCAGGAGGTTTTTCAACGCGGATGTTGTTTATGAGATTCCATTTTATACGCAAACAACATCAAATTGTTCTAAGAAACAACGCAAAATCTGAAGCAAAACATCCCAAGTTGTCAGACCAAAATATGTATCTTGTAATATAAACGGCGTCAGTTATGTACAGTGTAAGACACGCTTGTATATCCAGATGGACGATGGCTTAGCTGCAACTTTATGCTCTCTTGTGCTGACATTTGCTGCCTCCTACTTCTCTATTCTTTCTGGCTGAATTCCAGTCTCTTTAAATGATACAAGCCTTCCTCTTGTGATATATTTGCATTCCAAAGCAAAGGCAACCAGAACTCCTTGGAATCGGTTACTAAATAATTGATGTACTTTTAAACAGGAAAATAGTCAATGAGTCAATCACATGACGATCTCAAAATGCAAGGGAATTTTGGATGTCTTCGTGACGCCGTGTAACAGGGTGCATATATACCGGAATAGAGTGCAGAATATCCGTCTACATAGCATATGATGTGCTGAATATACAAACTGAAGTAGACTGTCAACTGGTTAACCCTTTGAAGTAACATTTAAGCATTCATATTTTACCCCACAGAAAACATACCATGCCACCAATACAAAAACTAACCATTTAACGCTGTTTACGAATTTGTTGGTTCCATGACCACATTTCGTGTATAAACTCTATATTACTTTACATGTGGATGTAACCCACTCTCTACTTCACTGCTATTTTCCTCTACAATGGCCAATGCTTACAACTAGAGGAGGTCATGCGTGTTATTTGTCAATGTTAATGACTTCGTATAAAACTGTATGCAAAACATTTAAGTAAAAAAATATTAAAATGTATCATTGTTGTGGTGTTACTGTGTATTTATGGATCACTGCATAAGTGTTTATGGAAATAATCACCGCTTATTCCAAGAATGTTTAAAAAAGTCATGACTAATAGTATTAGGTTAGATACTTTGCTAGTCATAACTAAACAAATAAAACTGATGCCACAGAATGAATATATTTCTGATAATGGTAGTTCCTGGCTAAATATTGGTCACAAAAATCAACTGAATTATCTAACCTTTATGCCCCATAACTCTTGAGAGATGGACTTAAATCCCATTTTCAGCTATATACTATTGAAAGGCAGGATGAAAGTCAACAATGATTGGAAAGGACATGGATGGACGCAGTCGCAGTCTAGTTTGAGATACTACTCTAGAATTTCCCTGGAAAGACTGAGGAAAACCACAAAAGTCCTCAAACATGATAGCTGGTATTCTGCGTGAATTCCTACCACACAGCACCCAAATATAAATTAAGTGTTTCCAAGCCAAGAGCAACAAACACAAAGAGAAATTTCATTATTTGAAACGACCCATTTTCTAGCACCTCATAAAATTAAGGTGTAATATTTAATGAACTAAATTACATTTTATTATTTACATTCTGATTTTTATACACAGAGTGAAAATATATAAGACAATTCCTGTGTTTTACATAATATCTGCGTTCTGGAAGCAATAAACCATTCTCTGATGCACAAAAATCACAAGGCAATTTATCTAGTGAGCTACAAATTATCTTCTTTGAATAATTATAGAGCTGAAATATCACAGCTGAGACAACAGTGAAAAACAAACAGCTTTAAAACCTCTATACCTCCTGGCCTGACGCTATCATATTGGTCGGATTAAATCCTACGCAAGCAGGATACTAACACTTTAGCCTAATATTTATTCTGTTCAACTGGCAAAGATACACGTAGCAAAATCCAAGTAAACACAGCAAATCTGGGAATGTGGGAAGTGCTATGTCATTGGAATACAAAAGAACCCAATAGATTTCATCCTTACCAGTGCAATACCGAACAGGCCAAAAAGCAACATACTATTACTACCTTCCAAGAATTCCAATTTTATCTGCCATCTCCTTCATGCCTATGTTTTCGGCATTTTATCTTTGGCAAGACATAGTATAGTAGCCTTTAAACCACAAGAGGAAAAGCACAACACACAACACGAATCTCTTTTCCAGTCACACACAGATCATATACGCACACTAATATAGATGTTCCTAGCAGATAGAATGGTCCTGGTAATAAACACAATAAAGTATTAGTCTGAATAATTCTAATGAAGAAATAAATACGTGACTGAGAAAAGTAATACTTATTTAAAAATCCATGTGAACTATAAAACACACGCTCAATAATTTATTTTTTATTTGGCGATAAAACAGTTCATTGAGAAAATGAATTTAGATACAACCTATCACAAGGAACTGAAGTGGACCAAGATCTAACTAGTCTTCTCAACTTGTGGCTGAGATGCCAACGGCACTTCACCACTTTCTACCTTGGAATCAGTATTTTCTGTAACGGGAACTTTGTCTGAATCTCCGCCTGCAGTCAGGTCTGTTTTTTCTGAAGGTGCAGGTGCAGAATTCTTTTTCACAGTTGCACCTTTCTTGCCGCCTTTCTTGGGCTTCTTCGATTCCGCTGTTTTGGAAACATGCTGGGGCTTTTCCACAGTTTGTTTGTGTTCGTCCACTTCCATTGGAACCTGCTCATTCACTTCACCAGTTACAACAGGCTTCACCTCCATGCTCTCACTGCTCTGTGCAACCTCCATTTTCTGTACCTCAACAATAGGTTCAAGAGAACCAGTTTCCTCCACCTTTTCTTGTGTCTGTTCAGTAATAGCTGGAGCAGCATTCCTAGTTTCTTCCTGTGCACCCTTATCTGCCTCAGCCACTGTACCTTCTGTGGCACTTTCAGTTGGAGCTACTTCCATCACACCTTCTGTAGGGGCTGTTTCCACTGTTACACTTCCTTCAGTCCCACTGGCTTGACACTCTTCTGTCCCAATATCCATGGCTGTCTCTTCTGCTGCAGGTTTTTTATTTTCCTCTGATGCAGGCTCTACTGCTGCAGGTCCTGTATTTTCCTCGGGGACAGGAACTTTCCCTTCAAGGCAACTAATACATCTCTGAATGGTTCGAATTGCATCTTTCCGTGCCTGCCGCACATCATCTTTGCCCTCTGTATCAATGTCATCAAGTTTCAGAAGGTTTCTTGTTAACATCTCATCAAGGTAGATATACTCCTTGTCCTTCCTTGAGTTGCCAGAGTACTTACTCACTTGGACCTTCAATTCCTCCATATCTTTCTGTACTGCTTGGACTCGTGCAATGGGACTATTGGCTGCAGGAACCTCGGAAGTTTTGGGAGGCTGTTGTTGCTGTGGCTGAGGCTGTGGCTTTGTTTGTCGCTGTTGTTTTGGAGATGACGGCTGCTGGAAGTTCCTGCCTCCTCCTGGTTGTTGTGCTTGATGCTGCTGGGGGTAGAACTGATGATGTGAAGCATACTGAGGAGCTCGACCAAAACTGTGTGGTGATTGCTGTGGAGGGAACACTTGTTCCACTCCGGGGTGTGGGACTCGTGATGTAAACACATGCTCTACATTCTGTGGACTGACATTTCTGGGAAGTATAGGCTCATCTCTACCCTCAACAAATATTGGAATATGCCTCACATTTCCAGTGTTTGTTTGTTTTGTAGGTGTGGCCTGCTGTGGCTGTGGTGCTTGTTTTGGTGCCACTGGTGGTTTACCATGGCTTTCTGAAGTAACAGTCCCAGGGCCACCACCTGATGATGGGTCTGCAGGGTTAACTGGATTGATTTCTATGCGAGACACAAAACGTTGTGGCTGCTGTGGTTGCTGGGTACGGTTGTCAGGTGGAGCAGACATAGACCTCTGACCACGACCTTGTTTCTCTTGCTCAGATTCATGCTGCTGTTGTCCAAGATCAACTGTATTCCTCAGCCCATACTGAGGAAGGTTCCCTTGATGAGATCGTCCATTAAAGGGACCTGGTTCCTCCCTCTGTTCCTGATGCTCAACTCTTTCTGGTACTGTAGGTTCACAGTTGGAACTGCTAGCACCATCAGTCTGTCCTTGGGCATCGTCATCTCCTGACCTTGAGCCACGCCGTTTTCGACCCCATGTACGGGCACCTCCCATCTCACCAGCCCAGGGTGGACATCGCAAGTGATCAGCGAATTCTGGGTGACGCTGTGCCAAGTCATCCAGATGTGACCGTATGTCCTGACGTCCTCTAGGCATCATATCGTCTTCAAATGGGAATCCAGTCTGTAAGTGTGAAATACCACTGTAAGCACAATTTAAATCAATCTACTGTATCTTTCCAACAACCAAGACAGTAATTTACATAACTTTAATAGCTCACAATACACAACAACCTATACCACGATACTAATAACATAAACTCTAATTTCTGCAAGTGTAACATGACAAAAATGTAACTCTAGACTAAAAATCAGTGAATTCCAATGCAAGGAAATGTCTGTTCTTATAATTGCTACATTCTTTCATGCTTCATATTCACAACTGAAAATGCAAGGGAAAAAGTACCTAATGGGTTATAGGCTACACGATTGGGGATCAATTCCTCATAAATTTTTCTTTTGCCCACCTAGCTCTCTAGCCAATGAGTACCATGATTGTTTCCTTCAAGAGAAGTGGCCAGGGCATGAAGCTAACCACAATCTTCAATCCAGAGCAGATTTAGAATGCGCTGAGGTACACCTCCACTCCCCAGTGTCTTGATGGTGAGGTCTTAAATTATGCATAGACATAATTTCTACATCTTACTTAAGGTGTGACATTCTCATCTGTGTCTCTCCATGAATGTAGAGCTACATTTTTTGTGCACTTTACAATCACAAAATTTGGAACGTAGAGACACTGAGAAACATTTCACGTGAGAAATGCAATAATACAAGAAAAGAAAAAAAAAAACTTAATTTTTATCCAAGTTTACCTATGGACCAGGTCTTAAGGTTCAACTCATGCAGCAGAGCAGGCTATATTATACACAAATGTAACTTCTCTGTTTCCTGATTTCTGCTGCAGACCTAATAGAAAACCCTCAAAGACTTGTGAAATTTACTCTGCACTGTTGCCAACATGTACAGCAGCCAGCTGCCACGGTTCTTACAGCAGCGTAAAAATATTGTGGTAGAAATTCCGGATAAGATCTGAATCCTCATTCCTCCCACTGCTTTTCTTGAATAACTTTGTATCATCATACCTTGCTTAGGCAACATTACGAGAAGTCCTGATCTCCGATATGGTGATTTTGGTGCCTCCCATACAAGTATGTTCAATACAGAATTCAGTAAATTTCTGATGATGATGATTTTTCGTCACAGTTTACTGTATATATATATTGTAATGACAATGAAAAGACGTATATCCTAGGCAGAGGTGAGTAGTTCTGCCTTAGGTGACTAAAAATACAGGGTCAGACTTTAACATTGGCAGTTGGAAGATGACACTTCACGATATTATAACTAACACAGAATTTGTGTAGCATAAATGGGGGAGAAGAGGACTGCATACAAGATACTGGAGGGAAAGCCTTAAGGAAAAAGACCACTAGGAAGACCAAGACAAAGGTGGGTGGATAATGTTAAAATGAATCTTAGAGAGGTAGAATGGCTCTGACTCAGGATGAGAACCAACGGAGGGCTCTTGTGAACATGGTAATGAACCTTTGGGTTCGAAAAAAATTAGGAGTTTTCAGTAGGTGCACAACTGGCGGCTTCTCAAGACGGGCTCAGCTCTATGAAGTTAGTTACGCCAGTTTCCCCAGCAGGGAAAACTGATCTTTCTCTTCACCATGGTACCCAGACCGACTCTGGGGCCTGCACGCCTTCTTTTGCAATGAACACTGGGATCTCTTTCCCTAGGAACAAACTAGCTGGGATGCGAAGGCAATTCATGGTACCCGTAACATCACGGTTAGCGAAGCTGTTCGCGCTTTCTCTCTCGCACGCATGCACAAATCTCAACATCCCAAGTGTAAACAGAACGTCCATGGCTGGCGTGTCTTTGAGGAACAGGCTATCTGGAGGTCAACACACGCTGAGAAATCTGAAAATTGCTGTGCACGAAAAGCGGAGATAACTTATAAAAAAGTTCTCTCTGTGCTTACTAAGCACCACGACACAAGGACATACAGGAGAGTGGAATTAGATCTCCACACATTCCTAACCTCGGCCCCAATGGAGATGGTCTGCTTCACGCCCTGACTGTTTTACCCCCGGTACTCACTGNGGGGGGAGGCAGTCCCCGCCGGGAATGTAACCCCGGCTCCCCGGTAGTCCGACCCGTACCATGGTCGCTAACCCAGCTCCAGCTGAACTAAATAAAATTTACGGACTTCGTACTGCATGTACGCTACAAAGCTAAGCAATTTACTGTTTGGGAAAACTATACTAATTTATTGGGGGAACTAAGAGCAACACGGACATAAACGTCGACACGAATGGTCACATCGTCACCACTGTCCTTTAAAGTTTTAAAAACACTGTGTACTTCGGGTTTATAGAATATTATATTTAAGCATCCTGTTGCACTATAATACACTTCTATATGTAATAATACAAATTCCGCCGTGAATGCAACAATTTCTTTGGTTGTAGATCTTTGTCTTTTTTCCCTCTAACCTACATGTTTCGGCCGTAATTGGCCATCATCAGGTGTATTTTTCACTATGTAGTTGTCACACTGCACACAGTCCAAAATCTAAATCATCAGCCTGTCAGTTTTGTTTAAAATCTCGCCAACATACGTTCCTCAATTTGATTTTAGAATTCCAGTTTAAAATTTAAAGTTTTAAATATTTTAAATACCAGGGGAACCTGCTCTTGTCTACTTTTGCTGCAGCGGCTACTTCTTGCTTTCAGCACCGTTCAGGTATTATTCTGTGCTGGCTCCCTGTGCGTCTGTAGCTGCTCATCTTTAATACTTTTGGGCAAAAGTATTAAAGACGAGCAGCTACAAATCTTGCGGCTTCGCCAAAAGGGTTCAGCTCCATGGAGTTAGTCCAGTTGTAGGATGATTTGCAAGCAACTGAACTGGAAAGCCGCCGTGACCCAATATGAGACTATCAGGCATACTCCTGGTAGGACGCAATCCCGAGGATGGCTTCCCCACTACGCGGCAGGCATGCTACTTTACTGTTACATTCGACACAAATGAATCAGCGTTATCTTCAGTTTATATTGTGGGCGGAGGCCGTTTCCAGATATTCATGTCACACAAGCCTTTAACATACCCACCTCGTTCTAGAAACACAATTCTGGACACAGAACCTGGTAAGTGCGGATTTCATCCGTTTAGGCCAGTGGTTAAGTACTGTCGAAATCGGGCCGAGATACACGCATTAATATCTAATATTAATGCAATTACTGTGTTTCTGGACCTTACCCATTGTTCAGTTTTTATTTAAAATACACCACGTTTCGGAGACTGGATTCTGTCTCCGTCTTAGACCGGAGATAGGTACTAGCTGGGCACAACTGAGTAGGTTCAACCTGAAGACGGAGACAGGAATGAATCTCCGAAACGCGGTGTTTTAAACAAAAACATGAGTACGGATAGTGTCCAGAAACACAATGAATGTACACGTATTAACAGCTTCGTGAAGTTTCGACACGTGACCAGTTATCACACCAATGCTCGGTGCTCAATCATGATCACGGGCTGGCATGAGAAGGCGCGGTACCAGGGACTGTCTTATCCTACTCCTGTAACTAAAATATCTAACCAACTGCATGCAGTAGAGTCCTTGAGACGCTATAATCGCTCAGATACATTTCTGGCCTTGTAGAAAGCGCAGCTCGTCACCGTGATCACAATAGCCTGAAGAATCCACTCCAACCACACTACGTCTTACGAGTGCGAAACTGTGACCGACAAAAATGAAGTATCCCATGCTACATGCACTGCCCCCCCCTCCCTGGTAGCTATGAATTTCATGCGCAAGCGGTTAGAAACGTAATGGCTGCTCAGGAAGGACCGATGAGTATAACTTTAATCTGAGTACGAAACCGGCATTTGTTCAATTCTGCCGATCCAAGTGGACCAATGGTTATATCCATTTCAGGTTAGTCAACAAATTTTTGAAGAACAGCATCAAATGAAAAACGCATACAATTTGTTTACGTTTTAACATTCCTTTCTGGAACATGGGAAGTTGGGATAGGTCTGTATAGCGACGGGCTGGGCCGGGGATCGATTACCGGTAGGGGCAATATTTTATTTTCTTCACAGTGGCCAGACTGGCTCTGGTGCCCACTCAGCCTACTAACCAATGGGTACTGGACGTTCTTTTCCCGGGGGTTAAGCGGCCGAGGCGTGAAGCTGACCACTCACTTCCAAGTGCCGAGGTAAAGAATTTTGGAGTTATACCTCCACTCCCCCTTCCATGGCATAGTACTTAAATAAGTAAGCACAGGGCGAACTTTTGGGAACATGTCGCGATTCGATACATAATTAACTCAGAGTCTGTTCTGAATTTAGGCTCCAGAAAAAGGCAGGTCTTTAACAACAGTCACCGTCATTATAGTCATTAACTATAACAAGTTTAATCAGGATTCTTCGTGGTACTTTTACGTTTCGCTTCGAATAGAGCTAAAACCCGAGACTATGACGTGAGTGAGGAATGCTGCACATCAGCGCCATTTTAAGGGTAATGGGTCCCGGCAAGCTCGTGCCTAAAATAATTTCAATTCGCGATGGCCATGAATACCACTGCTTTACGATTAACACAATGGTATACTTAACTGGTGAAAGAACAAATACTGTCTATTTTCATTTGTCATCACAGGAACAGAAGCTGATCTAAACATACAGACATGGGGCTCTTAGAATGAACGTACTGAAACAATGGAACTGTTTATCACCTTCCGACTGACCAGTCTTCTACTATTCACTGCCGTGTCGTCATATAGCGATCGTTTTATGAATTAAACTGTTGCCAAGCAACGAGGCGATGGGCTTAAAATTGCTTCTACGTTATAAAACCGAATCTGATCGCCTAGCAAACAGAACAGTGGCGAGGAGGGTACGTTAGACAAAAGGATTAATTATTCAACCCCTTCTAATTCTAAACAAAGACCATATTTTAAGGAGGTCAAAAACTTCATCCCCAAAAAACTTTAGGTAATGTGATACGTACTTCACAAAATTATCGATAGCGCTTTTAGACTTGTATTCGGGAGGTGATCTGTTCGAATCGCGCCTGGGACAGCGGGTATCGTGACTGACGCTCTTCGTGGGCTTCCTCAGTCCCTTCGAACAAATGATCGGAGAGTTAATCTCGATTAGAACACAACCAATTACTTTATAATTCATTCTGAATGCTACCATTTGATCGCATACGGCCCAGATGCTGACAATGTCTGAAAACAATCCACACAAAACTTACGAACTGCATTTCATATGCCATAAACCTGAAAACAATTTCAAGTATGAAAGCCGACGGTGTCATTTATTTTTGGGTCTAAGTATCTAACGTTAATGGTCTTCGTATCGTTTCTCGTAACTCCAGTATTTTACGCTTAATTTCTCACGCGAATTTCCCTTCCCGTCACAAATTCTACACCACTTTAAAATCAAAAGTTACTGTAAATGTTTCAAGACTCATTATTGTCAGTAATCTGCCTTGAAAATGAACCCACATGACCGCTCGTACCTCGCACCCGTCTCCTTAACACCAACCGAAATCATACATTAAATATCTCATACAAAATATGGAAAGGGTTAAATTACCACCGTTTCATTTCGAAATTTACCTACCTCGAAAAATACACATTCTTATTCATATATCAATGCGTACACATCACAAAATGCCATAATTATCCATGTACTTACACCCAAGGGGAAATCGTGTTCACTCCAAACGCAACGTTAATCAGTATTCTTTGCACCTAGTTCCATTTCTTTGGGAATGGAACGCTGAACGATTATACCTTAACGAAAGCAATGGAATATTAGACACAATAAACACTTTCCCTGATACTGCATGAAGTTTCCGGGCGTCTCTTTTCTAAATTTTCTTCTTTCCGAGATACTGTAACCCCGGACTGTTTAAACACCCAACTCCCATTGAATTCCAATGCGGACCTCGGCTCCCAAAACCTGCAGTGTACATTGCGACACTTCTCGAACATGAGTGTGTGTCTAATCCTGGCCAACTAACACCAGCTGTGTTCACTTCACAAGGTTACGCACGTTCTCCTTCGCCAGAGCTTTGTGTTTACGGATCAATAAGCGTCTCAAAAACTTCCCTGATACGCTTTACGGTAGACAGTTCTGCCACATATGCTCCTTGCTATCGTACTACCCTTAAAATCGCCAAATATCTACCAGAGTACACGGCGTCTCGTCTCAGAACGAGGTACTCTTCCCTAACACGCTAGTAATAATTAATGGTTTTAAGCAACATACATGCCACATTCTGATGTAATAATGAATTGCAATTCATTCTATTCCTTTGAATGGCGTTAAAATCTGTTGTGAACAGGGCTGGGGAAGCGGTCGTTTGGTCGCCAGTGGACGTTGGAAAAAAAAAAAAAAAAAGGCTGCCGACCAACTTCCCACTAAGTGTTCGGAAGTTGATTTTTGAAGTTCTGGCATTCTCAACCAGTCATTTGCGGCACAGAGGGAATGCTGAAACGCGTTTCCAAAAGCTGTTACGATCAACATAATTGGTACATCATAACACTTACTCCATTTTTAAATTCTAGTATTCTTATTTGTCCATTGTCTGTTGCGCCTGTCCCGTGTGTTTTTTTCCCTGTGGCGCTACAGCCCCAATTTGGGCCTAGGCCTACCTCCATAAACTCTCCGTTTCACTTCGGTTTACTAGATCTTACACATTCGGTAGGACTCATTGGGCGAGTGATCAGCTCGTCGTAAGGCCTCTACCTGTAGACGAACACAGAAAAACGCACACAAACATCCATGCCCTGAGTGGGATTCGAACCCACGATCTCGGTTTCCGAGCGGGCGAAGACAGTGCATGCCTTAGACCGCTCGGCTACCGTGACCGGCCCCGCGTGTGTTTAGGGCAAACAATAAAACAACAAGTACCTACAGAGATGTGAGCAAAAATACCGACCCATCTTTCTCGTGGAAACCAAAACATTTACCTACATACAGCATTCTCACAAAATGTATCGACCGAGCTGGCTCAAGCAGTAACGCTTCTAACTTGTATTCGGGAGGTGTTCAGTTCGAATCTCGACCATGACACCAAGTATCCCGATGCTTCTCGCAGTGGGGCAGGACCTCCAATTAGGCCACGGCCGCTTCCATGTCCTTGCCAATTATTTCCTTATTCACGATTCACTCCATCATTCTACGCTACACAAACATGGTGATCCCACTTCCTGAACACCAGAGCTATAAACAGACGTGTTTAGCTACATGGTTTAAACATTGCACGGTGTTTCATATTTAATTCATTTCTAAGAAACGAATTAATTAATATCTGTTTTCGAGAGCCAAACTGGCGATTCAACGGTCCCACTTGGCTCGCGTGCCACAGTTTCGTCACGTCTGCCATATACTCTTAGTTACAGACAGCCTAATAAATGCATGAAGGCTACCGTATCGCTAGAAATCATAGTGATTTATTCAAATGATCTAGTTACATATTCAATGGTTTAAACTACTTTCAACGTAAGACGCAGTACTCTGGCCAAAGGAAACTGGCGTACTGGTTAGAAAAACTGTCACGTTTGTTCTTCGGGTCAAACAGCATATTCCAGTTTATTAGTATGAAATATTAGGGCGAGGGTACACCAAAGAAACTGGCAACTGCAACGCAACCGCAATTTCCGAGAAACGTCACTGATTTCAAGCAGGCACACACGGAGGAAACTTATTTTTGATTAGTTGCTCACATCATCTCAAATGGGTGTATTCGTCCTACTTAATGGTTGATTGTAATTTTTAATTTCGTTCACTTCTCTTATGCAATGTCAATAATGCCGATCCTGTCATAATATGGCGGTGGTTGCGACGGTGTGAGAAGAGAGGCCAACTACCATATGAAAAACACAGGGATGTTAATTATTTTCATTAAGGGAAAAAAAGGGTGACCAGATAAGTTGCATTTAAGAAGGAATTGTATATGAAAGAAATGATATATTAATGCAAGAGGTGCTGAGCCCTTCTGGAGGAACCGCCAATTCTGCAGCTACTCAAGAATTTCCCAGCATTTTATGGAACCCAAAGGTTCATTGTCGTATTCACAAGAGCCACCCACTGGTCCCTATCCTGAGCCAGATCAACCCAATCCATATCATCCCATCCTATCTCTGCGATCTATTTTAATATTGTCCACCCATCTACGCCTTGGTCTTCAAAGTGGTCACTTTCCTTCTGGCTTTCCCACCAATGTCCTATATGCATTTCTCGTCCCCCTATTCGTGCTACATGTCCTGCCCACCCCATACTCCTTGACTTGATCATTCTAATTATACTTCCCTTGATGTCAGAGACCAAGTTTCACACCCATACAGAACCACAGGCAAAATTATAGTTCTGTGTATTCTAATTTTTATGTTTTTGGACAGCAGACGAGAAGACAAAAGGTTCTGGACTGAATGGTAGCAAACATTACCCGAATTCAATTTCCTCCTCAATCAGGTTTTGTTATTGTCGTTCCCAAATATCTGAACTGTGTCATATTTTCAAAACATCTGTTTCCTATCTTTATGTCATGCTTTTGCCCTGCGTTTTGGCGACGAGACAGCAACATGTACTTAGTTTTCTTTGTGTTTACTTCTAGACCACTTAAGTACAATATTAGGAAAAGAAAACACGGGGTGCATCTGTTCTTCTGTGACAATTTAAACTCAGGTGCTTATATTGTTTCAAAAGAACTTAACCGGGATCCAGACTCCATCTCGTGAGAAATTCCTTCCAAAGACAAATCTATTTTGTCCCGCCTAGCATACTTTGCGTGGAATGTCATATATACCAGGCTCATGCTCAATTAACTGCATAAAAACAAAATTAGCAGCTTCATCAACCTTTCGTGACGTGTAAAGAAGCAGGTGAATCACAAAAGTACGTCTGAACAGCTGACACTAGGAAACTACGCGGCAACGCAACTGTGAGAAGACCGGCTTGCTCAGTTGCCTGGGAGATGAGTTTCTCAGTCTCCCGCGAATTGAGTTACAGTTTCCTCAATTTGCCCTGCTACATTCAGTTCCACGTGTTCAACTCAGCCTGATAACAATTCTCGGAAATTGTGGTTGCCAGTTTCCTTGCTGTACTCTCGCCCTAATATTCGGATTCATACGTCTTCACAGAACAACATTCTCTTTCGAAATCGATTTTATAACAGAGAGCACCAACTGATTTCTCTTTCGTCCTCAAACAAGACTGGAAGAGATTCACTTCAACCGCGTAAACATTCTCCACGTACGCCTACTACGTTCTTTAGAAACTTTACATTCCGCATAGAGTCAGAAATTACTTCTCTTGTATTTCGTCATATATACTAATCAAAAAAGAAGTTCTGAGAAGAACTAATCGCCGACTTTCCTTTGATACAAAAGGGCCGCAAAGAAAACGAAAAAACTACGAAGCGACACATAGACAGCAAGGCGATCTCATAAGCCTCTCTTTATATTTTTCTTCAAAATATGGCAAGTAGGCTAGAAAATTAAGGCTGTCTTCCGAGAGGTCACGCCGTGTAACCCGGGAGACGTTTACGGACGTCTCTCAAGAGCGTACTGCTTCCATATTTTGCCCTTGAAATGAAGACAAGTTCACCCGAAACGTAAACATCCACCAGACTACACGGCCTCACACCACACAAGGGCAATCTTCAAACACCGCCGGGGGAACCTCACGCAGCTAAAAATGTGTCAACTCTAAAATTTAATCAAGTTCCGACCACCAGAGGCCACAACTGGGCCGCAGGGCTCCTCCCTTTCGACACTCGAAGAGACGAGTGCGAAGCAACGGAGCACAGTCACAATCACACAATACGACATCCGGCGTCAGCCACTTTCAGCATAAGGCTGATTTAATATAGCGCATTCAAGACACCGAAACATGCCTGGGCATTAAAAACACGAGAAATTAACCAGACAACATGCTTCAGTGGCGATTTACATCTGATCAGAATACTGACAGTAACGAACCCCGACAAATCTGTCAACCGTAACTTTGTAAGCAAAAGTTGCTGGAAAAAATCACGGTTGTACCGGATTTGGGAGTACACCGATATGATTCCCAGATAAGATATCATAAACAAACTCCGTGGCCTGCAGTCCGCAAGCGAACAATACCGACCAAGCGACCGCCGCTTGTCGGCGAAGTTAGTGTCAACTTTTGCGGATAGAGGGTGTCACGTGGTCAGCGTAACGGATCCCCACGGCTGTTAACCTCGGTTTTCTAGGCCAGAAGATAAGCTATCATACTAATACAAATTAATATTAGCATCACGGCCGGTACATATTATGTACAACGTACATAAATTCCATAATGCCGTGAAAACCTACCGCGAAATCAGGGTCCTGTGTTGCAAACTGCAAGTAATCCTGTGGCGTATCCGTCATTACTGGGGCTTCCATTACACTTTCACTTCACGGTTTACAAACAAAACACAACGTACCACACCAGCCTATCTCACAGTCTACGTGTTCACAACTGATCCCGCATTCGAAGCAAGTTTCCTTAAGTACTCATTCTGTTCAATTATGGGCGTATATTCAAGGTCTAGTTGACGCACGTAATCTTTCTAGAAGGAATAAACCACCATCCCACGCGAATCCTTCGTTACGAATGGAACTCTCTCATGAGTGGTGCACAAACCTCACACGAGAACGCTGACTCACTCCACGGCCATTTCAGGAAAGTAAGCAAGTCAACGAACAGCTGATAGGTCTAGACTGTTTTACATCGAAATATGGCAGGACTACAAACTGAACGGCACTTTGCACGTGGAAATATTAACATGCCACCTTAGCCTGGACATTGATACGGGTGAATTCCATGCATTACCAAACAGCGAGCGCCGTGGTATGGCGGTTACCACTTCTGCGACATGACACGTTCCTGGATACGGCAGTACCTCCGGTTCTTGATTTCCCACTCAAGGGCTTGCTTACCGATCGAGTTAAATTAATATCCACCAGGCTTACACTCAAAATTTTCGGACTCAAACTCGAATATCGAACTTACTCCGGGACTGTGAATAGTCTGCAAGGAAGTGACCATCACGGCTTAACAATTCATACTGTAACGCTCATATCGAAACGCTTAAGATATATAAACGTACTATTTTTAAAATTAATACTATATTATCTGATGTCAATTTACGGAATTATAGTGCGCAGGGGGTTAGAATACAGAGAAGTAGGTCTGGGCTTCGGGCTTCAGAAACTTTCTTTTTGAACGTCCCATGTTCTAATTAACTCAAATTACGATTTTTCGGCTTACGGCCAGTTTTCGTGAACGCACAAAGTCGTAAACCCGAGGTTTGGGTCCAAGAGACTCACGGGGTGAATGCTAAGGACTGGTGTCCGGTCCAGGCCAATTTGGACAGGGGCAGAAAATATTCCGCATGGTGCCAAAGTCCCAAGAGCGAAATGAACATTAATCATAACTCACATGTATGCTTATCACGGGCGCGTCCTGTCACTGGAAACCTCACAGACATGCTTATATAACCTAAGCAAATAAGGTATTAACTCCATGGAGCAGAGTCCTTGAGAACCAACAGCAGCTCAGCCACTCGTTAAATTCTCCGCATTTTATGGAACCCAAAAGTTCACTGTATTCGCATGAGCCTGCAACTGGTCCCTATCTGAATCAGATAAAGCCAACACTATTTCTTCAGTATTAAATTTAATATTATCCTCTCATCTAAGCCCTCATAGCAGTTTTTGCCTTCAGACTTTCCTATAAAAATTCTGTATTTACTTTTTATTCATTACCTGGTGTGCTACAAGCCCTCCCCCATTCATCCTTATTATACTTGTGGCACATGAATAAAGGCCACTGATGGAATTATGACTGGCAGGGGAACACCAAATTACTTGGAGAAGAACCTGCCACAATGCCACTCTGTCAAACACAAATCCAACATGAATTATTCTGGAACTGAACGCAGGCCTCTGCTAAGAAACCAGCAACAAACTGCCCAAGTCATGGCACAGCCTTGCTTATTTCTTACCTGACGTGAATTTAATTTGTAATCAGAGCTCTTAACACACCAAACGATAGAAGCTATACAAAAAAGTGACTGGGGAACTTTGGTTCCCAGGTTTACCATCGAAAACATAATGAAATTGGGATTTATACTGGAATAAATCTACTTTGTCTGTAATTACGCATGTATTAAACATGTAAGTTTTAATGTTTATGTAACAAAAGTACACTGTCTCCTTTCACATACCACACTGCAGCAGAAACCAGTAACCTCTTAAGATACTAAGCATTGGATAACTACATCAAACAGATTACAGTGCTTTGTTACAAAAATAACATGAAATTATGTTTTACATTATGCATCTTGATTAAATAATCTGAAACTCTACCACAATATTTCATGGGCAAAACTAAGCAAAGCTGTTAAACAGACCTGTATCAATGTTCTCAATTACACTTCGAAGTTCCCCAATTAATGATACCAAATATCCTTACACTGATAACATAAAAAATGGGAGGGTGGTACTGTGACTACACATTTCTCATTGGGGGTACCTTAGAACTGCAGTCTTTAAAGAGCAGGTTTGGTTGTATCCGTCAAAATGAAATTTCAGTATTTACCTTGGAACCTTCGAAAATTATTCACATGAGACTGAATAAATCCGTTCAAAAAATATTTGCCTTTCTTTGTTAAATTTTGCAACTATTTACGCATATATAAAGTTCACAAATATTCTCTTACTAGAACTGTTCACCTAGTAGGCAGTTCTGTGTTGGAGTACAGAAAAGATGTGCCCGAATTTACACTCACAAATTTCCACGAAACTTGAATATTACGTGTCTATACTCAAAGCAACTTCCTCAAATGTTCAACTCACCCTAGAAAATGGGCCAGTCGTCGGCATTGATCCCCAACTCGGAGTGGTTTCGAAGAACATTTTTCTATCTTGATCAATCTGTTCTTTTAATTCATTTAATATTTCGTCGCCCGATTTACCACGTAATCGATCTCTCAACCTCGGTTTATCACGAAAAGAAAATGACATACTAATGCACTCGAAGCCAGCACTCGAATTATATACAAGCAAGACTAAATTCCAGAATCTACGAGAACATTCTTCAATGGCAGTAGTCGTTCAACCAATGGGAGAGACGTTTGGAAGCTGTACAAGTCTAACCAATAGAAATGAGCGTTACTGATAAACCCTTCGAGTACAGTCTTCAACATTCTCCATTGGTCAGGAACATTCACGAATAAAATGGAAATATCGATTCAATAAAATCGAACGTAACAAATATTTTTTCATAATCCGTGACAAATCGATGTTTTGTTAAGCCTGTAGATACATAATATTATATTACGGAAGAAAGACTTATGGCAGAATGGTTACATTGAGACAAGTGCATTGCAAAATTCTTACAAAAAAAAAAACAGGTTAAAGCTTAGACATGGCACTGAAGTCCAGTATTATTTTCTCACTGTGACTTCGCATGAACCTCAGGTTGTTTCTACATATCCAGGATAGTGATGTTTAGTAAATTTAACTCTCTTCTATGGCTACTATGTAACGCCACAGATAGTCCTCCCGGTCCTCCCGACACTTAAATCCGTGTCAGGCATTTTATAACGTAACCATGGTACGTGGTCGCCATCTGAGTTCAGACGAACCGTGACAACTACTAAACTCGATACGCACAATCGATTACAATTTCATTCAAAAGTGTATTTAGTACGTATTTTTTAAAGGGTTTTTCTTTAGTAGGAGAGGAATTTGAGAGCTTGTGATTGGAATGATGTTAGCATGAACGCGTGGCTCTTGTAGTGCAAAACTGCTTCATATTATTGAGGTACTTTTATAAATTTTAGGTTTGTCAGTGTGATATGATGTCGTTCTCTACGAACATTAACCCCTCCAAAGTCACATGGTGTTAATTGTCCAGAATGTGCGTAATGTTAAAGTGAGCGCAAATGAGTTGTAATAAATGTGTTTGACGTCGTATGTAGGCTAAGAAAGAAACAATATCCAAAGCTGTTTATATGTGTTTATGAGTTTCATAAAATGTTTCAGTAGTATACAGGTAACATTTGGTAATATTAAAAGTAAACCTTTTTTCAGATGGCCCCATCTGCGGTTCATGTAACGCATAAACTGGCTTGCTTTGTGTGTGAAGAAAGCTTAGAAACTGTCAGCTCCCTGCATTACCACCAAATGTGCTACCATACAACGGAGGAACTTTCACTGGCTTTATTGACTCTGAAGGGGCTTAAGTTGTTGGTTGGGGACTTAGAAGAAGCAACGGATAGTGAAGATGCTGTGCTTCGCACAGGCTTAGCTAAGTATCCACATTTTCTTTTGAATGAGAATTCCAACAAGGCAGAAAGTGATTCAGAATCTACTGCAACAGCTGAATCGTCCAAATTGCAAGGTGCAATTTCGACATTGGATGGTGAGAGAGTTAGGGTGCCTGTAGTTAGAATCTATCATCGAACAGATGCAAACAGTGAAGAGCCCTTAAGCAATCCGTCTACTGAAGAGTTTTCAGAGGACATTAATATAACTCCATTAAGAAGCAGGAGTGAATGTAGAACAAGAACCAGAATGACTTTGAGGAAAAGAAAAAATGATCCAAGCATATGCAAAGATACTGGATTGTCTAAAAGAACTTGTATTCAGAAGATCAGGAAGAGGCAATCGGTTATGTCCAGCAGAAAGAATGTTGAAAAATTTGAGGACCAGAATATGGGAAACCTTGAACTGGAATGTTGCAGTGATGATGGAAAAACTATCAGCGGCAAACATGAAAATAGTTCAGAAACTGATACTGATAATGAAGTAATGAAGAAATGTGCATCAGGGTTGGGTCACTCTGTTGAAAGTCATGTCAGTCAGACAAGGGATAAAGCTTGTGATACATTTTCTACTATTTTTGCCAAAAGTGATGTTGAAACTGGTGAAGGTGGAAGTTGTGAGTCTCAGAAAGTCACAACTGACACAGAATGTCTGACAGAAACTAATGGCCTATTGACCAGTTCTCCCAAGACTGAAGCGAACACTCCCATTCACAAAGGGAGTTCCTGTTCATCTCCTTCCTCTGTTGATAGTCTCCTCTCACCAGATAATTCTCCACGTCCAGAGCGTTATATTAAAGCAATCATTTCCAGATTGCCTAACATTATAATCTCAGATACTGACCAAAATACCAATGTGAAATCCCAAGGGAGGCGAACCAGTAGGAAGAAACAAAGAACCCCACGAAAGTATGTTAACGACAGCTATGTGTTGCCATCTCCAGTTTCGAGACACCACCGTTCCAGTGTTCAGTATGATTACAGTAGCAAGCAACAGAAGAAAGAGAACGTGCAGTTTCAAGACTTCTTTGTTCCAAACGTGCAGTTGCAGAATGGTATTGATGCAAAATGTGGCACCAGTCCGTTGGATATTTCGGAGAAAGAAGTTCAGACAACGATGATGAATCCTTCTGATGATGATTCAGGGATACAAGTGGAAGAACGGGAAAGAAAATGTAAAAGGAACGTTGTAGATGAGTCTACAAGCAAACAAACGCAGACAGGGCTCCTCAGCATAACAACGCAGCGGCTGGCAGCTTATCGTAAACAGCCTTCAAGAAAGTGTCAGAAAGAACAGCCTAATGGTAAGAAATTAGACTCCAGTCGCAACACAAATGCTGTGCGACAGAGTGAAGTGCTTGAAAGTGTTGCTGCCAGTGATTCAAAGACTTGTGTCTTTCCATCACCATCATCACATGTCAACAAAAAAAGCAATCATACTGGCAGTGTTTCATTAGAGAAATCAGAAATCACAGGACATGGAGCAGAGGGTAAGATGAAAGTATGGAGCAAAAGCCTTATGAAAATTTACCCGAGAGGAATGACTGACCGAAGATTCTTTTGTGAACCTTGTGGCAAAGGTTACAAGAAGAAATCTCACCTAGAGCGGCACGTGAGAGTCCATACGGGTGAACGTCCATTCCAGTGTTCACACTGTGAGAAGCGGTTTGCAGTGCGGTCAATCTTAAAGCAGCATGTCCGAACGCATACAGGCGAGAAGCCATACTGTTGTACAGTCTGTCAGCAGCGGTTTCCACAGAAGTCTGGTCTCATGACTCACACTATGTTGCACACAGGCAAACCATTTAAATGTGACCGCTGTGAAAAGGCTTTCGTCTCAAACCACAAGCTTGTTCAACATCTGAAGAGTCACGGTGGACCTCGCAAGCATATCTGTTCAACCTGTAGTACACAATTTTTTACAGCGGGAGCACTGTTGCAGCATGAACAGACTCATAGTCGCAAGGGTCCACACTTGTGTATGATATGTGGGAACAGCTTTCGGCAGGAAACTCATCTTAAGTTCCATTTAGATGAACACTTACAGAAGTTTAACAGTATCGATGCACCAACCTAGCCTACATGTCTTGTATTTAGTGTACAGATGTCAGTGACCTCTCTTTGTTTTCGGATATGTAATAGAACATTAGAAAGTGCTGATATGTTATTCTGCATGTTGCCACCAGGTGGTGAAGTGGCTAGTACGTTATGTGTACGTGAGAAGTTGGTGAAATCACTGTCACAGAAATTCCAAGAAGTGATCTAAAGTGACCCTAAAATATTGGATCTCTTGAACAATAATTTTTCACAGAATAAATTGCAGGAAGCTGTCCCTTGTGATATTATGTGGCACTTAGAGAAAGTGGCATCTCTCAGTCTTTCTCCTGTAGCCTGTACTTATATGTAGGCAACAGGAATGTTGCTAATGGAAAATTCATACTTTGGTAAATATTAATGTAATTCATGTATGTTAATGAATTCAGTGTAACTGTGCAATTCATGCTGGCTGCCTTTGACAAGGTGTGATATTTATGTGGTATATATTGAAAATGGTTTCATGGAAATGGATTTTTAAGTTTAAAGCTATTCTGTGCACAGTGTATGTGGCAGTTTTGTTTAATCACTTTCCTTCTGCCTTGCCTCACGCCAAGTAGCTCTGTCCTCTTATTGTCATCCTGGGTCCCAGGCTAGATACGGACTCGAGTAGATTTTTATTTTAAGTTGCACCAGTTATTGCTGTGAGAATGTGGGCATGGTTCCACATTTTTTGGTATTAACTGTATAAGATTATAACAGTGAAGGTTTTGTTTTGGTCTGTTCAGAATTTATAAAATTCCAGCAAGAAATGTTATCACAAAGAAGTAAACAAGCTATAAGTCAGAAGTTCTTCAAACCCCACAGTCTTATTTACCTTCCTTTGATGTTTCCACTTTTATGAGGTTCAACTACAGGGTGTGTCACTTGGAGGAAGCTCTGAATTGATAATTATAAATCATGCCATAATTTACTAATGGAAACAAAATTTGGTGAGTGTGTACCATGGTAGAATTGGAGATGATTGAGTTACCAAAGGTGCTGAAATTGGTTTCTCCTCTATTGGAGACACAGTCTGCTTAGTCATATACATTATTCCACCATGTAACATGTGGAACCACAGACTGAAGGAAATGGTACAAACTGGGCAGGCAGGCAGGTAGACAGACAGACAGACAGACAGACAATGGGTCAGTGTCGCCAACCCCAGTTTTATCACTAAATTATTAAGTGATTTATAATAATTAATGGAACCTCCTACAATTAATCATTCTGTATGAAACTGCACAGTGTACAGAACTTGCATACACAGCATTAGCTGTGGTAATTGCCTTATGGTTAATGTGTTTCAGGTTAATGTTCACTATATAGGGTGTCACAAATGGAAGTTTGAAGAGTGTTACATTCTGGGATGTATTGCCTTGCAGCTTGGTTGAAGTTTTAGAGGAATGTAGTTCTGCAACTTGAAGGTCAAATAGTGAACCAAGGAAGACACCAGCAAACTGCAAGTAGAGCTGTGCTTGCTTCGTGTAGACTTCTTGCTTGGTTTACCGTTTAGTTCTGAAGGCGGAGGCAGTACATTCCTGTGAAACATCAGTGAACTTCTACTGAACTACAGGTTGTCACATCCCAGAAGGTACTATGCTTCACAGTCACTGCTGTGAGAACCAGATATCCACAGCTGATACATATATCATTTGGCAGTGCCTAGGATGGTGATGTGGTTTTCACTGGTAGAGAAAAACGAAATTTAGCCATTATTCAATTTCTGTTCTTATTCAGATAGCTAAAATTTTTAAAAGAGCTGGAGGGGTACTTGTGCCAGCTGACTGATCACCTCCTTCCAATTAAGATAGCTGAAAATTCCTCAAAACCAAAATATTGTATTAATATTATAATTCAAGAATTCACATAGGATTGCTAACTAGCCTTTTTATAATAATATTTTTTCAAGCTTGAAACTTCAGATGTGACTTCTCTCGCCTATCAGAAATTTACATGCTTCATGACGAATATTAATGATCACGTTTTGATTTCCTGGTGTATCTTAATTACAAAAGAGAATTAGAACCAGAGGTTTGTCCAGTTGCACTATGAATCACATGCTGTTGGCATTTAATTTCACTCTTTCATGCCCCATAACTAAATATGTTTAAAAATATGAACGATTTTGTACATCATCTTGTACATTTTGTATGCAGTTCTGTGATAGGGGCCAGGCTGAACACAAGTCTCTCTGCTGCAAATTGTGCCTGCTTTGTGGTGTTTTTGCATATCTGGCACATATGTTCTTGTGTTACAAATTTGGTAATTTGCAGAAAAGCAAGCGTTCATATGTCTCTATTATATGAGTATGGATATTGAAATTATTTCTGTTTATGTTATAGGGATGTGTTGTAATGAAAGTATGGGTGGTATTCATTGTGTGAATCATATGACAGAGGATAACAAACTCTTTATTTTCAAGTGCCTGGTACTTCTCTGCCCCTTATATCACGTTATCCTTAGTTCTTTAGTCTCACAGTTCATTTTATCTCCTGATAGGAGATCCTTGTATCAGAAATTTGTACATAAAAATATTTGAGTTTAGAGAATGTTTAATGAGAGACAGGTTTGTGCCTAGCAGTTAAGTGCCAGAGAAATGGGCACAATGCTCTGGACATGTGAAAACAGTTGATAGGCCAAAGTTACTGAGAAGGGCATAAGAATTCAAATTTAGTTAGAAGAAACATAAGGTAAACACAGAACAAGATATTTAATCAGGTACTGGAAGACATCAATAAAAGAGGAAATTGGCGGCAATACAATGAGAAGGAAGGACTGTGAAAAGAAAGCAAGGTTTGGAAACTTTAACTTTCTGCCTTTCAGTTTATATATAAACGAAAGTGATGTGGGTAGAAAAGAAAACAAAGTAAAATAGCAGTCCTGAATGGGTGATAATATTTTAGCATATAATAATACCAGATTCAGGAGATCAAACCTAAAAAAGAATTATTTTTACATGGCAAAACCATTGTAATTGTTTCTTTTCTAATTATAATAATGAGTGAATTCCAATTTCTCTCGAAAGTGTCGTTCTAGATTCAACTCCTCCTTGTTTGTCCCTCATTACTTCCTCAAAACTTTCATATCAGTTGCTTGGATTTTGCAGTTTTTCTTGGCAAGGGGCCATTCTTCACTGTTAATGTGTTAATATTGTTTAAAATGTAATCTCTAGATTTCTGTTTTGCATTTTTGCCTTTTCCCATAAAATGTAATGAAATTTTTGTATAATGTAAAACAAGCTATACCATCAGTTACAATGGAAATTTTCAATATGATGAGTTTGTACTTATCTTAAGTTAATCATGAATATCAATATTGTGTTGTTATTTTTCCCAAGTTTGTTGATAGGAGGTAAAGATGAAGATGGTAAAATAATAACTTCGTTTGTCCAAATGGCTATGTGATAGTTCTTGTTATAGTTTCAAAAAGTTGTCCTGCACATAGGCCATGTCACACTCTCACCATGTTCATTCATTGTTTTTCTATGCATACCTTTCCAACAACTGCGAGAGAATTTGGGTTTAAAATGCTGGTTAAAGAGTGATGCATATAATAGTTATGGAAATCGTGTGTAGACACATAAATAACCTTCGATAAGTAATGTTACATGTGCTAACTCTGTACAGTCACAGCCCAGTTGTATTTGCAGACTGTAAGGCATGGGAAATCCAGATTGTTTTAATTTATTTTGTAGTAATACTTTATATAAGTAAATGACTTGGTTTTGTTAACTTGTTGATTTTTATTTGAAATGCAAAATAACATTTCATAGCAAGTAGGAAAGCTTTTTGTCACTGAATACCCTGAAAATCAAAGCATATCAGGGTCATATATTTCAATAAACATATAATTTGCTGATCCATCATGACAGTACAGACGCCATCTGGCACCACTGCAAACTGTGTTTCTGCAGGACAGTGATAATTTCAAAGAAATACATTAAATATGTCTTTTATTAATTATAGCAGAGCTTTTCCTACCGTTAAGGTAAACTTGAACATTGTCACACAAAAAGAAATTGAGTGGAAGCTTACATATCCATATTAGGGATGGGCTGGTTCAGACCTTCCATGTTTTAGCATGAACCACTTCCACTTCAATGTAAGTGAGTCAGATCTGCAGAAATATCATGTTACAGACATAGTATGACAGAAAGGGTCAGTAAAAATATTTTTAAGTTCATGTGCTTGTATTTGATTGTCAGCCCAGAAGATGGTAATCCTTCCTGAGGTATTTTATGGTTTACCTCAGTCCTCCAGGCAAATGCTGGGATAGTTTCTTGATTACCTTTATTTTTTTTTTTAATTCACTTAGTGGGGGGTGGAGTCCAGTTGGGTCCATTCGGCACGGTGGCCACTGATTGGCCTATGGTAGCTTGCCCCGTGTGTTCATGATGATGGAGAATTTGGTGGAATGAAGATTGGCAGAGGAAACTGAAGTACTCGGAGAAGACCCGCCCCAGCGCCACTTTGTCCACCACAAATCCCACTTGACCAGACCCGGGATCAAACCCGGGCCGCCGCGGTGGGAAGCCAGCGACTAACTGCTTGAGCTATGATGCTGCCTAATTACCATTTTTATACCCTTCAGATTCATTGTTCAGAATTGTCTTCCTGTGTGAGATTATATAACGTGCAGTTGAGAAAGCACAGCTAACTAAAGCAATCAGCACACACATATGCTGTTACTAACTTCTATTATTCTAATATTATATTGTAGCCTTCTGCTGCACTTCATTTAGTATCAGATGGTTTCACAGTCACACATGCAGCACATCATTCTGTAAAACTTACGATATGGAAGAACAGCAGTTTCCACATTTATAATTTTGAAACACCTAATGATGAACTTATGGGTCATCATTAGTAACTTTTAGTAAGTTTTATAGAAAGACATGCTGCACATGAGACTGTGAAACTATTTGATACTGATTGTATTATTCTCCATTTTCTGCTCTTTTGTTTATGGTTAAAAAATGCAAGATTTTGAAAGCTGTCTCTGTTTGTGTACTTACCTACAAGTATTAAACCCCCACTGTTGGGCCAAGTAGATGGAGCCCCAGACCAGGGATTGAGATCAGCTCAGTCTGAGGTACCCAACAGGACATGTCTTATACTTCTACTTGATGAAGGAATGAAAAGTGAAAAGATGGCAAATGTCCAACATATATGTGTCAGTTTAATAACACACCTTTATTATGACCATTTAGATTTGTCTTATTTTCTTCTTGTTCTTCTGCCTTCTGATCATGTATAACTTCCTGCTTTCTGTTAAAATAGTAGGATAAATTACTTTTTGATATAAAGGGACATTGGTATTCCATCAACCTGAGACTGTCTTGAATAAAGGAGACTTCACCCATTCCCTGCATATTGAGGGTTAAATCCCATAGTTTGGTACATTATTTATACAAATTGTCAGTCAGGATGAAATCCAGCCTGATTACCTACTACCTTCATTTAGAAAAATTAACATTTTGGTTTCTGAGTTTTTGTATTTTGCATACTGACTTAGACATTCTTTGTAGGAAATCTGACCCAGACATATCGATAGCAGCTAGGAAATAATCTTACAATCTTGGTGTGAAATCTGCCNCTGTATTTCGCATACTGACTTAGACATGCTGGCAGTAACCAGTAAAGAGTGTGACATGCTTTGTATGAAATCTGACCCAGACATATTGATAGCAGCTAGGAAATAATCTTACAATCTTGGTGTGAAATCTGCCTTATACATGTTGATAGTAACCAGAAAAGAATCTTACATTATTTATATGAAATCTTGCTGAAGTTAGGAATGGGGTGTAATCTGGAATGATTTCATGCTGAGAACAGGGAAAGAGTTAACAGCACTAAGGGAACTTTTGAGTATTGTAATATTTTATAGGGGAACTTAACTCATATTAACATACTGCCTTTTTATAGTACAATTGTGGAGGTTAGACAATCCATTTAACAGTCCAAGTTAAATGTGTACATTATAGCAGAAAGAGGTTATGAATCATGGTATATATTTTATCCAAGAGTTTTATGTTGTATATTGTGTAAGAGTATTTGAGAAGACAGCCATTAGTGGTTTTTGCTATATGAATTATTAGTATTATTAGTAACAAGTCAAAGTGACTCTGTATATCATATGTCTTATATACTCACTAGTATCTTACCACTTCAACTTTTTTAATGTTTCTTCTAAAGTTTTGATTATTTATTCCTAAGTAAAAACACATATTGTTCCATTTATTATCCAGGAAAGCTGTTTGTACAAAATACTATGTTGAAACTTTCTTATGATTCTGGAAGAGTTATATTCTGTTCTTTTTTATAATATTTATTCTGCAAAGAAAGATGGATAGAAAGCTTGCCAGAGATTAATAAAGACTATGCAAAGTCTGACAGGTAAATAAGGGGATTATTTTGTAAAAGACCAGGCATGCCATAGCTCAGGTGGTTAGGCACTGCTTTCTCATTGCAGAGCTGTGGGTTCAGTCCAGAGCACTCAGCTGGGTACAGAATGAGCTATATTCTGAATAATATATAAAATGAATATATGTTATCAATAATGTGTAGAGTTCTGTCACTTTCAGAGCAGTTGCTTCCTGATTTTATACTTGCATTCCATTATTTCTGCTTCACCTAAAATCATCACTGGAAATAATTTTTTGGAAGTTCTTTCAGTTCTCATTGCTCTGAAAGTTTTCAAAATGTGACATTTTCAACAATATTTTTAGTTTTGGAAAAATGAAAAAATTGCATGTGGTCAAACTGTGTGAATGTGGTGGATATTTGAACTCTGTTCTGTTTTGTTGAAGGTGTTGTGTGGGAACTTCCACATTGGCATGATGTAAAGTTCACTTGTTTAACCAAAGTTTTTGGTCTTTGACAAATGCATTGCCCTAAAAATTACAAAACATATAAGTGGAATAATTGGTTCACTCCTTTATCTTGAGAAACAAATTGATAATGGAGTGTCATTATATGAGAGCATATCAGGAGATTCTGATGTTCATATTTTTATTCCTGTTGGAACTACCAGAGTTTTTATTGGAGACTTTGTCATTTTATTTCTATGTTCTACTGGGAGACCCAAGTCTTGTTGCAGGCCATTTTCTTCCACAAATCTTGCTAAGTCTCTGAGCAGATTTATTGACTTCTGAAGTTTATTACAAACGAATCAATAAAACACTCGCAAAAATTATAAAACAAAATGGAATCCCAATGAGTATTCGACATAAAACTTACTAAATTGTGTGATCCTATATGTGCCAAGGGACAAAGACTGTCAGTTGGTACATACAGTTATTTGGTTGTCAGACTTTGTATAATACAAGGTTTATGTTTTATGTAAAAGCCAATACTGTATTGTAGAAACATCTACAGCAGGTACAATTAAGGAAGATTGCATGTGGCTATCGAACCTGTAAGAGTTGGTAGTAATGATTAATGAAATGTCTTGTATTATTATCTACATCAGTACTGATATGAAAACCAATAAAAACTGTCATCAATTGAGGCCTTAATTACCTATAACAAAATGAACCCTGTCATTTCCCTAAATAATATTTAGTCTGTACGGGAGCTGGGATAGCATAGTATAGTGACTGGCTATGGGCTAGATGATTGAGGAGTCAGAGTTCAGGTCCCAGTAGGGTCAAGAATTTTCCCTTCTCCACACTGTCCAGACTGGCTGTGGGGTCCACCCAGCCTGCTATCCAATGGGTGCTGGGCGGCACTTTACGTGGGGTTGAAGAAGACGGGCCATGAAGCTGACCACTCACCTCCAACTAGTGCCAAGGTCAAGAAATTGTGGATCTATACATCTATTCCCCCATGCGCCTTCATGGCATAGTGAAGCTGACCACTCACCTCCAAGTAGTGCCAAGGTCAAGAAATTGTGGATCTATACATCTATTCCCCCATGCATCTTCATGGCATAGCGCTCAGGTAAGCACAGGGACAACTTTACCTGTACAGTTGGCCACACCATAGCTCAAGTGGTTAGTCGCTGGCTTCACACCGTGGTGTACCGGGTTCAATCCCAGGTCTGGTCAAGTGGGATTTGTGGTGGAGAAAGTGGCGCTGGGGCAGGATTTCTCAGAGTACTTTGGTTTCCCATGTATATCTTCATTTCACAAATTGCTCCACAATGGTACAATAGCCAGAAGTGGCCACAGTACAAGGGACTTAGTCCCACCCCACTAGCAATAAAAAAAAAATTACCTGTATGGTTTGCACCTTTCCAATCCTGTTATTTGTCAAGGAGATGTTGACAGACATGGTACCTAGGATTGTGTTGTGAACATTTTGCTGATTTGAAATTCTTGCAGTGGTGACTATGAAGATTACAGGGTTCTGGGATGTTATGCCATGTAGTATGGTAGAAGTTTACTGATATTGCACATGACCATGTTACCTCCATTTTCAGGGTTTTCTGCTCTGAAGATGGTGGCAGCAGGTTCCTCGAAAGTGGCGATAAATTTCTACCATGCTACATGGCATCACAATGCAGAAGATAGCACTCTTCTAGAAGTTATGTTAGTGTAACATCTAAAGAATGCCATAATACGATGGGGTACCCAAAAGAAACCGAACTAATTTTTTTGTGGGCAGAGCTTTTGTAGTACCGCGTTTTTCCACTATGAGCGCATAGAGCTAACATTCCTGAGTCGATAAGCTGACTACCGTTGCTTCAGAAGGTAAGGACTAGTTTCGGCAGAGTTTATAGTGACAACTGTTTTGTGTGATCGTCGTTTTTGCAATGGCTGATTTTCGTGAACAGCGTGCGGCGGTGAAATTCTGTTTTTTGCTCTACTTCTGTAACATTACACAAGATTCCCCCCCCTCATTTCCAATCTGGTTGTAGAAATGAACAGGGCATTTGCTCATGTCTGAAATTTGTGATATGTTATACTTATTTCTGCAAAATGGTGATGCTAAACTTGACCATATTTGCTTGTTCATTTGTGTGGTGATAACTGCTTTGGCTAGATTTGGAATTTGTTATTTAAAGTAAGCATTCAACTAAATCTATACAGCATTATTCAAGAAGATAATAATCTTCATAATCATTGCCACTAAACAATATATGCAACCAGGGATTTTTTAAGGGGGGAGCAGCCAGAAAATCTGCTTACAAATTTTATGTTTAAGCTGTTAACAATTATTCATAGAAATTTAGGAAGAGAAACGTTCTTTTATACAACCTTTAATTTTTGGTCTTAATATATGGTATATTTGAATATGAGTATGAGGGGTGAGCCATAAAACTGGCCCTAACACTGTGACCTTCAGTGGACTGTTGTGCTTATATGGTATATTTCCTTCTGTTTTCAATTTAGATTTTTTTTTTCTTCGCCATATATCCAGAGGTGGGCAAATTCCTCTGATGCCTATGACTTACAGCTTAAATTTTGCATGCTTCTCTTTAGTTGCATAAGAAATATTTCATTCATCATTCCCTGGATTGAAAGTGCTTGAGCTTGAAGTATTTCAGCCCCAAAATAAAATACATTAGTTTTTTGTAGAGCAAGTCCTTTTTAAGAAACTGGTATCAAAGTTTAATTCTTATCTCTAAAGACAATCATATGAAACAAACACGTTATGAGTTACCTGCCATGTGAGTCCTGATGTTGAGTAATTAGATTACAAAAAAACGGGAGTTAATAAATATTTATTTTGCAATTATTAAACGAGGCCATCAATAAAATTTACCATAATTGATAACAGGTGGCAGTGAAGGAAAATAATATTTTGTACCGACATCTATTCAGTGATTCAGGACTTTCCTAATGTATGTTGTTTCAGTGGCTCCATCTATACAGCAATTTGACTATTTTGAAATGTGAATTACAATGGATATTTAAATTGAGAAGTCTGTGGCCAATAGAAGCTCAAATGCTTATGCAATTTACCAAGAATCGAAATACGAAGCGAAGTGCGTAATATAACTTGACTTCGTACAATATCATGGCAGCTGGTTACACGGATCTGAGGCAGAAGTTGCAGTTTAAGCAAAAAAGTTTCAGAACCCACCAAAAGGAAAAGAAGTTAGTTAAAATGTTTCCTTTCTTTAAGTCCAAGTGTATGAAATTGGTTGTATGTCATGGATGTGATCCTTTTATTTCCAACTTTATTTTGAAATTTATTGATGGAGGGCGTTTTTCATGTAGCCACAGAAGTAATGTTAGAAGTAAGAGGTTATAGTCCGTCTTGGAAAGCATGGTAACGCATATTGAGAATTAAACAGACCCCTTTGAAGTTATTGTAATTCGGTGTACCCGTATGATTTGAATATATTTCGACTATCCTGCCCATGTGATCTGGGGTGCAACGAAATTATGTCTTTTTAATTTATAGGTATTCAAACTCGCCCCATCAGTACTCGCCGTATCAAAGTGTAGAAGACAACTTGGTTATTTTAAAACAAATCCACACGGGAATCCAACAGCGGCGGTTGTTTGATAATGAGCAGTGTGCTGCTATTGAAGAAAAAATAGATGAAGTGGTGGAGTTGGCGGATAAGGGAAAATACAAGCCCTGCACAGTAGACAGAGCCCCACTGAGAAACAAGTGAGTGTACTGAGGATGTTAATTAGGAAAATTATATGTGGTGAGTTTTGTCCAAACTGAGTGTTTTGTGGTTTTTACATGATATTGCATTTTTCAGTTAAACTGAAACATAATTTGGTGTAAATTGAAGTCTAAAAGGTGGACCTTACTCATCTATCCTGTGTTATGGCAGATACTTCTTTGGTGAGGGTTACACATACGGATCACAGCTGTCAAAACGAGGTCCTGGTATGGAGCGGCTGTATCCTCCAGGTGAAGTGGATCCTATACCAGATTGGGTCCACAAATTAGTCATCAAACCACTTGTGAAAGCAAATGTAGTGCCCGAAGGTTTTATAAATTCAGCTGTCATAAATGACTATCAGCCTGGAGGGTGTATTGTTTCCCACATAGATCCTATACACATATTTGACAGGTGAGTAAGATAGTGAGGAGGTGGCAATCAATAACAGAGTAATGTTAGCATTTTAACACTTCAATCTGCCATACCACCAGTTTGGAGTGTCCAAATCCTTAGTTCATTCATTCATTCATTCATGTTTATTCATCCTGTAGATCAGATTACATTGATATAGGACATGTTTACATTGGTGATGCATCTTTGCATGGTGAGAAGCAAGTTGGCTCAAGTAGTGCCACTTTAGATGCGTATTCAAGAGATGCCTGCTTTGAATCTCATCTAGGATACCAAGATAGCCTGGCCAAGATTTGTTATATCCTCAGTCTCTCCTGGTAGATGCTGGGATAGTCCCTCAAATTAGGTTACTACTGATGCCCTCCACATCCACTCAAATGTGTTATTTAGTAATCATTATAATATTTGATAATATATAGTTTCAGCTATTGTTATTGTTGGGGCGTGCAGTAGTGTGGTTAGTTGAGGCACTATGCTACAAGCCTGGAAGGTCGCTGGTTTGATTCCTGATGAGGTCATTGGATTTTTCAGTTGACCTAGTCCTTCCAGGCACACTCTGGCCCTGGGGTCGACTCAGCCTTTAAAGAGAAATGAGTACCAGGAATCTTCATGGGGGTAAAGAGTGGCTGGTGCACAAGGCTGACAGCCTCACCGCCGTCTATGAGCCGATTGTCTAGAAAATGTGGAAGCCTCAACGTCTCACAACCCTATGGGCCTCCATGGCCTATTACAGGGATAGCTTTACCTCTTACTGTTATTGTTAATATTGTATTTGAACATGTTTTTATTTTTTCAGATTGCATGACATGGTAGATGAAGTTATGTGAGGTTGAGATTCTTGTAGCAGTGACTGAAGATTACTGTCTTATGAGGTGTGATACTGTGTAAATGTAAGGTAACATTTTTGTTGTGCATAATTAGCACCATACCATGAAGGCATATGGAAGAGTGGAGGTATAGTTCCACACCTTGGCAATAGGTCGTGGTGAGTGGACACATTCAAGACCCACCTGCTGCTCATCCCCCTCCCCCTGAGGGTGGATTGGAAGAACCCACTGCATGTATTTGATAGGAGGCTGCTTAGTGGGTCCCAGAACTGGTCTGAACATTGGAGAAGAGGAAACTCATAATGCTGCCAAGAACTGAATAGAACCCAATTCTTTGACCATCCAGTCTTGTGACATGATGCAGTCTAATAAATTTTGGAAGAACCTTCTGCATCCATCTGCAGGGTAGAATAGACTACATGATGTAACATCTCAGAAGATACTAATCATCATTCACTGACTTACATTAATTTGATTAATTAATTTTAGTTATGCTTTTGTTCATTACAGAAATTATTTGAAATGATTTGCGATATATGACATGCTTTAGGTGTTTGCCAAAATGGGCACCATATTACAAAGTTTTTCTGGGTCAGTTCTCCCAGTATGTCTGCAAACAAGCAGTTCTGCACCAAAAATTATTGCCACTTCTGTTGTCTGTTGCAGGATGTGTAAACTGTTAGTTATGAATGTGCTATATCTATGAACATTTATCTCACTCACTCACTCATGGTGCTGAGCCCTTCTTGAGAAGCCAACAATTGTTCAGCTATTCAAGAACTTTCAGCATTTTATGGAACCTGAAAGTTCATTACCATGTGAACAAGAGGCCTCCGCTGGTCCCTATCCTGAGCCAGATTGATCCAGTCCATACTGTCCCATCCTGTCTCTCTATGATCCATTATATTGTTCACCCATCTGTGTCTTGGTCTTCCCAGTGGTCTCTTTCCTTCTGGCTTTCCCACAAATATCCTATATGCGTTCCCCTTCTCCCCCATTCGTGCCACTTGCCCTGTCCATCTCATCCTCCCTGACATGATCATTCTAATTATACTTGGAGAAGAGTACAAGTTATGAAGCTCTTCATTATGCAGTTTCCTCCAACCTCCTGTAACTTCAACTCTCTTTGATCCAGATATTCTCCTCATTGTCCTGTTCTCAAACACCCTCAGTCTACATTCGTCCCTCAATGTCAGAGACCAAGTTTGACACCCATACAGAACCACAGGCAAAATTATAGTTTTGTATATTCTAATTTTTATGATTTTAGACATCAGATGAAAAGACAGAAGGTTCTGGATTGAATGGTAGCAGGAATTATCTTAATTAAATTTCCTCTTAATTTCCTCCTGAATGAGGTTTTCATTTTTTATAGTCATTCCCAAATATCTGAACTGTGCCACATTTTCAAAAATTTTGTTACCTAGCCTTTTTGTCATGATTTTGCCCTGTGTTCTGGTTACCAGACAGAAACATGTGCTTTATTTTCTCTGTGCTTACTACTAGACCAACCTCCTTACTAGTGTCACTTAAAGTTTGTATGTTTTTATGGTATCTATATTATCACCCAGTAGATTCACGTCATCAGCATAGACCACAGCTGATGTGTCTCATTTAATTTCAGTCCCACCTCATTTTCCTGGACCTGCCTAATGGCATATTCTAAAGCAAAGCTGAAAAGCAATGGCGATAAAGCATCTCCTTGTTCTAGCCCATTCTGGATAGGAAAATTATCAGACAAATATTTACCTATACGGACATCACTATATGTTTCATTTAAACACATTTTAATCAGCCAAACTAATTTCATGATTTTCCCAAACAATACTTCCTTCATAACTGAATCATAGGCTTTCTTGAAGTCTACGAATAGCTGATGTACCAGACACAAAATCTCACACTTAGTCACAGCCTCACTTCCACTACCCAGTCTGTGCAGGAGTTCTTGAGTCCCTCAGAGATACTAATACTGAAATGAAAGTTGCAGCATTTTCTAAGACAGAAACCCTTCTGCATTATTTATGTCATAGTCCCAGGTAGCAGAATTATATGCTAATTCATTTTTTTGAATGTGCAGGCCAATTGTCTCGGTCTCATTCATGAGTGACAGCGCGTTGAGTTTTGGTTGTAAGTTCAGCTTCAAACCCATCCGAGTATCCAAGCCCATTTTGTGCCTGCCGCTGTCCAGAGGTTGTGTCACAATCCTCAGGTACGTGCACATGTGCGAGGTTTTTATTCTGAATGAGTCTCCTTTGGGGCAAGTGTCATTTACTGTGACTGTAAGGGTGTCTTCTGTTAATTGTAACAGGACATATCTCTTATTCCAGTGGGTTTGCAGCAGATGAGATAACACATTGCGTTCGTCCCGAGGATACTGTTGCTCGTCGGGCTGTTATTCTGTTGCGCAGGTGAGGCCACATCTTGTAAGATTGTCAGTCTTCTGAACCCAGGGCTGTATGCAATACAACAGAAATCTGTTCTCTATACTTACAGATATTTGTTTTGATACAGTGTTGATGTCTTCTTGTGAGTATAGTTTATAAACTATGCTTGATATTAGCTAAATATGACATAATATTGTAACGTGGATGGCGCAACAGGAAGCAGGGGTCACGTGAACTCTGAGTTTCTGCGAGTGATGTCACATACCCCCACTTCCATCATTCCGCAATGCTCGGTAAACACCCCTCACCGCTAGGCTGTGATGTCATGCAACAGGATAGGCTGTGCAGCGACTCTTGCTAGGCAATTGGTAAACCTGACGTCACATAACTGTGGTAGCTATCACGTAACTGTTTTCTGTGTGGGCAGTGCAGAAGCTACATAACGATGAGTATTATTCGAGCCAGTTACTAGAGAGTGAGTTACTAGTATTGAGGATGGACTATTTAGTATGAGTTGAAGTCCATTGTTATTGAGTTGTATTGAGTGAATGGAAGTGACTCCAGCAGGAGAAGTAATTGTGATACTGCAGATGGCAGTGATTGTGAAATTATGAATTTTGTAATTGTAAGAGTGAGTACACAATAAATTCGCTACATCCAAGACAGCGCGAAGTTATTTGTCGCGTCAGAGACCCAACACGTGACAATATATTGGTGTCCAATTTGCTGTTGATTGTGTCCTACATTTTAACTGATGAACTTCTGATGAATACTTGGGTCTTTGTGGCTGGAGTTTAATGTGTGGCTCTGTCTTGTGAGACTAGGTCACATTGAGTGTTGAGAATTTTCTAATATTTCAGCAAAATCTGCAGCTTCCATCTTCAGAGGTAAACACTTTGAAGGGGTTTTCACAGGTCATATATCTCTTTCAGTAGGCTGTGTGTTGGAGGGGAAGCCATGGTTGCTGAAACATTGTTCATCACCTCTTTTCACTGACCGTGTGTTTGCTTCCTGGCAGTTATCTTCCTGCTCCTCTGTTCATGCTGTTGTGGCTTAATCTCCAGTGCACTGTCTGGTATGAGAGTTGTATAGGAAGTGCCAGAACCCCTCCAAAAATTTTTAACCCTGAAGATGTCAGATGCAAGTTTGGGTAACCTTCAACATCTGATGCAGTGTAGCCCTGAGTGCTGAAGCCATTCAAATTTCTTTCTAGTTCAAGTCAGAGCTAGGGCAGTCTGCAGCTACTCCACTTCTCATGTTGTCATTTATTTATGGTAGGGTGTTCCCTGATGCCCCACGCTTGACTCCAGATGAAGTGCTGCCACCTCTCACCACGAGTCCCACGCCACGTTACCAGGACATCAATGGCCTGTCAAGGTAAACTGACCGGTTACTTTAGTCATGAGAGATGCATGAGTTGTAATGGTGCACCAGCTGACAGATAATTCTATTATTTTATCTATTATTATTAATGCACTGATCATGTCTGGGAGAATGAATTGTGTGGGACAAGTAGGATGCATGATGTAATCAGAAAAGCAGATAGGAAGAGACCACATTGGAGATCAAGTGTAATCAGTGGATGGTATTGGAATTGATTTAAAAGAATTTAATCCTGTTACATCAAGATAGGGTCCAGTGGTGAGATGTTGTGGACATTGTAATGATTCTTGGATTTGAGGTTCTCACAGTGGGGAGTATGGAGTTTACTGGCTTGTGGGATGTGACAGCTTGTAGTGCAATACGAGTTCATCAACTTTAACTGGACTGTGATGTCATCCCGGGAAGTAGTATCATACAAACAGATAAATATATCAGAATCTCATTCCCAGCGATTTTTAATTACACGATAAGCTTCAGTTCTATAGTTTATGTGTTACTCCTTCTCTGAAGTTTCAGCTGCTCTATGTTGTGATATTGAGAAGGAGAACAGCCATCTCAGGGGTGAAAAAGGGGCACTTTCTGTTTACTGCAAATAAAAAGATTTTAATATTGGCGATCGGAACACATTGAAAGGCCCAAACTTTGATGCTGATGATAATATTGATCGTGCCATGAGTCTGTTTTGATAGTGCTATGTATGACAGGCCCAGTGAAGGGGGAAATAACCCTCGGAAGAGGGTGGTGGTGGTGAGCAGTTCCCTGCACCCAAGGCACCACTCAGAGGAGAGTGATGCAGGAGAGGATGACCCAGAAGATGTAAACCATCAGCATAACAGCAGTAAGAAGCGTCGCAGGGTCCATAAGGAGAGTAGCCCTACCAGTTCCACTAGCTCCACCAGCAGCAAGCCCAGTGAACATTAGCGTATAGCTTCCAGGTATGTTACCCTCTGCTGGCTTTGTGTTGCATTGTTGCATTGGTGCCTGTATGTACACTGCTGGGCAAACCTGGTGCCAAATTGTGTGACATCCCACCAGAAGATATAAAATATCATATTTTGTGACAAAGAAGTGTTACTGCTGACAACCATGCAGACTAGGAGACTTAGAGTCTGTTTTCCTGAATGATAGATAGTTAAATAAGTGAAACATGATGGAACCATTTATGGTGTATCAATTTGGTTGCAAGTGTCAGATGGGTGGGACATGGGGGCAGTGAGAAATTATTGCAACATTTTAGTTGAAAAATATGAACAGGAGAGGCAGCCTGGGAAACATAGGGATAGCCACAAGGATAATATTAAAATGAATCACAGAGAAACAGTATATGAAAGTGTGGACTTGATTGCACAATCCAGTGGCAGACGTTTGTGAGCTTGGTGGCAAACCTTTAGGAAATGTTTTGACGAGCAGAGCAACTGTAATGTGAATGTGACAAGGCAATGAATTGTGAGATGATAAGAATTTGAAGGAAATTGCTGTACACTACAGGCAGTATTTGGAAGTGCTGTCCATTCATTTTCCTAAAGGAGTAAGGGCAGATGCAACCACAGTAAAAATTGAAACTGGTTACATCACAGTTATGAGACCAACATTCTGTATGCCATATCTCAGACACTGACTCATCTTCTCACACTGGAGACTTGGGTTCAGTCTCAGGGTAGTCTTTGTTTGATTGGTGGATAAAGTGTCATAGAGGCAGGTTTTTCTCTGAGGAGTATGGTTTCCCCTACCGGTTGTCATTTCACCAGTGCTCCATACACATTTTCCATGAGGGCCTGATACAGCAGGAGCACTTGAACCCATAGCACAAAGGGGCTTGGTCTGTCCCCACTCCAACAGCTAGCTGGACACTACAATTATTATGTTTCTGGATGCTGTCCATAGTCATGTTTTTATTTAAAACACAACGTTTCAGAGACTGGATTCTGTCACCATCTTTAGGTGGAACCTACTCAGTTGGGCCCAATCGATAGAGCTATAGTCCGTATCTCTGACTGCATATGTTCCACCTGAATATGAAAACAGAATCCAGTCTCTGAAATGCTGTGTGTTTTAAATTAAAACAGGATGATGGCTAATGCCCAGAAACACAATAACTAGTGATTCAGGTGGAACCTACTCAGTTGGGCCCAATTGATAGAGCTAGCCCCTATCTCTGACTGCGTAGGTTCCACCTAAATATGAGGACATAATCTAGTCTCTGAAATGCTGTGTGTTTTAAATTAAAACAGGATGATGGTTAATGTCCAGAAACACAATAACTAGTGATATACTGTCATCACAAACTTTAAGATCTCGTTAACTAGACACTACCTGTGTTGGGAAATACATGTGTAGCATAAACAGTGCTGGCACATTGACTTCATTCTGTTTAATTACCTCAAAAATTGGAAGACTTTCTTAAGAGGCATATTAGGCATAAAATTTGTGTTTTATTTTTCCCTGCAGGTTCTCTCTGAAATATTGTCCATTCTGATGAATATTTAACAAGTTACGCTCAAGGCACAGAAACACACGTAGGTCTTCATATAAAGTGCCTGTTATTGTCCAGTTTTAACCCTTTGACGTGGTCATTTAAATTCCGCGGCCGCGGCTCCTGCGGTAATATATTCAGCCGGCCATTTAAATTTTGCTCGAAAATTATTTATTCATCATTGTTCTTAAATTCTATGAGATAGGAACATGAAACTTTCACTAAAATGATCTTAAATTGTGGTTTTATAACCTTACCTTATAATATGNCAGATAAAGTCGTGTCTTATTTATACTCTGTTCTACTGACAACAGGACAGCGAAAAATCTAACAATCTACAGCAAAACCATCAATTATTATGGGCGTTATAACGTAGGTGTGCAGCTGGACGAAACATACACGTCGAACCCCCCCAGACGATTTAAATCCCTGACGAAACATACACGTCGAACCACGGCAACGGGTTAACCAAAGTTGGAATTAATTCAGCCCAGGGTAATGAAACTTCCAGAATCAAATTTCATGAAAATCTGAATGTGCTCTCGCTGGTATCTTGTTGTGTCCTTGCTTTTACATGGCCAAACCGTTGTAATGAGTTCTCTTCTTCTCTTCATGAATTTGAGTTCCAACTTCTACAAGAATCTCTTCCTAGTTCTATCAATTTTTGTTCTTCCCTCAGCATTAAAAAAAATATATTCGTTGCTTGGATTTTGCTTTTGTGCCTCATTGAAAGAATTTATGGTATGGGCTTTGTATCGACAATAAACAAATGTCAGATTGGTGTCATGCTGAGAGTTTTAAATAGTGTGCTTGAAAACTGTATGTATTGCCAACTCATGTACATGTTATTACTCTAGTTCTGTTTTAGCTTAGTTTTCTATCCTGAGGTGTGTGAATGTTTTGGGAATAACATGGGAATACTGTGACCTCCCCCCCCCTCCAAGTTAATTTTCCTGTGGGCTGAAATGGAATTGAACATTAAACTGGAGAAAATTTAATACTAGGATTATTGACCTAGAATCATTGAAATTCAACATTAAGTGAGGGAAGAAGTCGAACTGAGGAAGATTACTTAGATTTTTCACTGTATTTAGTTTCATTGGGTATTTTTGTTTGCTTGAGCAACGCTCTCAGCTCACATTCATGTTCCTCTTGGTTCAGATTTCAGCTCACACAAACTGGCTTTTTGGATCAAAGTCCGTCCAGGGAAATACCAGGTTATTATGCCATGATCACTTGCTACCAAATCCTTTCCAATTCATCAGGCCATTCTGCCATTCAATGCTGTATAGTCTGGCTACCTGTAATCCACAGAACAAAATAATTTATTTCAGGTTCTGGGAAAACTTTGTCAGTCAGCCATGCTGCAGTTATTTTCACATGGCCTACTGTATTGTGAAAGAAGGGGAAGCTGTGGAGCATGGAGTGGCAGTTGCATTGTGTACAGCCACGAAACAGAGAATTAGTGTACACTGTAACAAATTATTGTCAATTGTTTGTAAGTATTATGCAATATTTTCTTAATGCTTCTACTGTTAATTCATTTCTCCTCTTAGGCTTAATGTTAATGAACAGATTTCTGAATTTAAATTTATGCCAATTATGTAATGACTTTTTTTAATTTGTAATTTTTAAATTGTTTTTTGGAAGCACGTTAAACATTTATATTATGTGTCTTATTATGACACAGTTGTATATTTTCATTGTTTGTGATGTACAGAAATATTGTTTTCAGCTGAGATGTCAGTTTTAATGTTTACACCAATTATTTATCTTTGCAGTATGATACTAATCGTATGGATCAATAAGACATTGCTTTCCAATATGTAGACTTTGTTTTTGTGGCACTGTTTCCAAATACAGATGATTATTTTTGTTGTTCTGCTTTCCTTTGTACCATAGATGTCACATTTACTACACCTTAAAGTTTTATATTTATGTTGTATTTTGATAATACATGTTACCATACATTTCAGGCACTCTAATGTCTTAAAAGAATATTAGTTAGCTAGTGGATTGCAAGAATGGAAGTGCAGTGACCAGGGTATAGCATAAGCTCACCAATAGATGTCAGTTTCATCTAGGTGTGTGTTATTTTTGGTTATTTTATGAAGTAATGTCTCTTGGAGTAATTGTTCAGAAAGGCTGTGACCTCACTGTTCCAGCAGTTACCATATGATTATGTTGGCAACAAATAATGCAGGTGTAATAATTTCTAAAACTCTGAAAATATTAAAGTATTACATCGATTGTCCAGGTTTTATTTAAGCAAAATAAACACAGTTTGTCCCCAGTTTTTGTTTCTGCATGTAATATGTAACAGGAAGATATGGTACTCTGTCACAGATTAAATATGCGATACAGAATTTTGTGATACATGGAACCCTGAGGATATCAAGTACTGAAAGAAAACTACTTTAACACCAATTTACTTATTCATATTTTAAAAATGATGGTACTCAGTTATCAAAATTAAAATGTGTGGAAGAAAATGACATGTAACTCAAACTGTGGTGTGAAACAATATTCATTCAAAGCAAGAAGCTTAATGTCCTTTGCTCTCATTGTTTTTTTTTTTAATTTATACAACCCACAATTTGATTGTATTAATATTTAGGTTATGCCAGATTTGTTGTTATTTTTGGGCGTTTGATCTGGTGAAGTTTTAATTTACAGAGGTATTAAAATTTCTGATGTCACATTTTATTTAGAAAACAGATGATGTATACTGGTAGAAAGAAAATAATGTATTATGGAATGAAACTAATAAGAAAATAAATAATATCCTATAAATTAATTTAGAAATTGGCAGAGAAGTATGCATCATTTAAAGAAAGAAAATTTGTGATTGTATAATGATGTAATATACAGTGGATTCCCATGTAACTGCCAACTTTTCCATAATGTAATAATCTGTATTTATTTACTAATATAATCACTTTTATTTTCTGTGGTGATAACACAGTTTTGTCCTACCATGTTCTGGATGTCTGCCATAACTGTATATAATGGAAGGTCACATAGTTTTATTGGACACCTTAGGAACTGAACAAAAGTGTTTCTGTTGTTGGAATCTTCATCAATTTTTGCTTCAGTTTTTATCACTGTCCATACTGACTGCACTTGATTGGACCTCAGATATTATTCCTGTGCCACTGAGAGACAGTTAACTCAGCTGGGGTTTTCTGTGATACTGCTATGTGTAGGAAATATAATTTTTAATCTCACACAGCTTTCAGGAACCCAAGTTTGTGATCATAGCAATGACCTCCATGTGATATTTCTCTGGAGAACTGTAAATTTAACCTTTCCCATGCTACAAAGAAGTTACCACTTGTGTAAGCCCTGCCATTTGTGCTCTAAATGTGCCGGATATTTGAATTTTAAATGATCTGCTTGATAATTAATATTCTGGGTTTGACATCATGTTATAAGCTGGTATTTGGGTATCACCATACTGCCTCCATCTTCAGGGTTTGTACCCACCTACCTGACTACAACCTGGTGTTAAACCTGGAACACCACAGGTTCTACATCTGCAGGATAATGTTTTCACACAAATAAAATTTAAGCCCTAAGACAGTTATGCTAATGTTGTTAGTGGAACTTCTGTTGATGCCGTGTAGTAAGTGATTTCCCTGTAATAAAAATTTTAGATAAACTGGGGAAAGAATGATAATATTATTTTGTTTCTAAGATAATTTCAGCACAAGAAAGGGTATCAGTACCGTAAATTGGGCAAATTTAACAGGGACAGTTATATAGTTGTGTGAGATTGAACATTAAATGAGACATAACTTTAAACATTTAAATGGCAAAATTCGTTTTTTCTTCACAATGTACAGGGCATTCAGTGATCAAGGAAACCTGGCAGCAGTGTAGAGGGGAGACAACATTTCTCACAAATTGCTGCTGTAACTGCTGATAGCAGAATTAGTCATTAGTGCTGATAAACGCAAGCACTCTCGCTAACATAGAGTGGATGGAACATTTCTCCATGACTACTGTGCCCTTCCCCCCTAGTGAGAGTGCAGTCATGTTGCTGATTCCCTCACATCAGTTTCTGTACATACACACATTTATAGGAATACTGTAAAAAGATGGCACAAACTTACCGTGCTTTATAACAGGTGCTGAAAGTGACCCCCTTCTGCTTGCAAACATGGCTCGCATTGCATAAATAAATTATACGACACTTTCTGAAGTTGGTCCATGGTAATTGCACCAATTATGTGTTATTTCATTCTGCAGAGCTTCAGTGATGCGAGGATTAGTCTTGTAGGCTTTTCCCTTTAGGTTTCCCCAAAGATAAAAATCGCAGAAACTGAGATCTGGGGATCTTGGAGGCCACAGTCGATTCGTCACAGACTTAGCACACCACATCCCCACCTTTTCACAATGTAATGGCACTTGCTGTATAGTGTGAGGATTTTCATCACTCCATATTCTTACATTCTGTGCATTGACATGGCCACTAATGTGAAACCATGCTTCATTGGTCATGAGCAGAAGCTGTTGATTCACGATTCCATCATGCACATTTTGCACCAGCCAGTTGCAAAAACGAATTCTTGCTTCAAAATATGGTTGTATCAGCTCATGCACAACTGTTATTGTATATGGGCGAAAGTTGATTAATTTTGTGTCCGTGAAAGCAGATCCTAGCGAAACACCAATTCCCTGTGCCAAGCGTCTTAACGATTTTCGTGGACTGATCTGTAGTCGTGTCTCAATATCCCTAACCTTCTCTTCAGTCAGCAGAGACCTCTTCGATTGCTTCTTTATGTCACAAACTGAGTCTGGCATGCCACTTTTGCACAAGCCTGGATACACACAGCATTGTGGGAACTGGTGAGTCAAGATATTTACGACAAAACTTACAGATACATTTTCTGTAATTTTTTTCCTTGCAAAAGTTTTGACAATAAACACACATTGTTCAGTAGTGAACTTCATATCAGTATAAATGTTGACCGTCTATTGACACCTCTAGCAAAGACTGACTATTAATGTGACTTACTGCAGTTATAAGGTCAGACCACCTGATGACGCGTGTTTATCAGCGCTAATGACTCATTCTGCTATTTTTAATTACAGCAGCAATCTGTGAGAAATGTTATGTTTGCTCTATGCTGTTGCCAGGTTTCCTCTATCATTGAACACATTGTATGACAGAATTCATGAAACTGTTCTGTGTCCTAAATACAAAGTTATGTGATGTAAGAACAGGTTACACAGTGGTTAGTGTATGCACCACTTACCTAAACTTCCAAAAACCATGCAGAACATCTTCGTTGTGGAGATGTAATGTTTTTTTCTCAGAGTTAGGGATTGGATTCCAAAGAGTTACATAGATGAATTTGTTGATGCAGAGGGTTAAATTGGCATTAAATGGGGATTCACTGATTTTGTTCAGATGAGAGTTGATAAAGTAAACATTTTATCAACCTTTGTGAGATCATGTCATCATGGCAAAGTGAAAACAGTTACTTTACACTTCATTTTAAGTGTTGTTCTATGGGAAATTAATTTACATCTTAATTTGTCTGTATGCTATAATATTAGGCCTAAAAAGTTCAATACAAGTTTAATAATCAAATTTTAATTAGTCTTAAGTTATCAATAAAATTAAGTTCTTCATGTGCAGAAACTTCTCTGGAACCCTTTGCGGGCCTTCTCTGATCTTTTCACAGTGTCACCCCATTAAATCTTCTGCCCATTACAATCAACATTCATATGTATTGTTACAACAGTACATTATATACCGTATTTACGCATGTATAGGCCGCACATTTTTTGCCAAAAATTCAAGAGGAAAACTGGGGTGCGGCTTATATTCGAAATATTCGAAATCACACTTCATTTAAAAAAAAATTATATTCATAATTAGTAATACAGGGTGTAATACTCCTGAAATAATATTCCAAGAAAATTATTTTTTCTATAATTTCTGTCTGAAAATTGTGCTGTGGCCTATACACGCACGCGGCCTATACATGCGTAAATACGGTAACTTAGACATAAATATCAGAATTTTTGTGCTTTTGGAATAAAAGTATTCCAGAACAGAGGTATGTTGTATTAAAACAGTAATTTTAAAATAATTTTTAGTTTCACCTTTAGGTACAGAGTGAATATTGTGATGTAAAGATAGCCTGCTTTTCTTTGTATATTGAGAGAGGTTTGTGTATGTAAGAATGCGCCTATAATGGACCTTTTGGAGTATGTATCCACCATTCTGATTTTCCTGCTTCTCTGCATATGAACACCAAGTTAATGGTTTGTTAAGGGTGTACTACATCTCAGACATCTTTGGGGATGCATTATCAAATATCAGCATTATTTATTGATACAAATCTTATTTATTTTATGAAGGTTAGTATTAAATTATGTGGCCTGTAAACATTGACCTCTAGGACCATTACAGGAGAGCATGTTGAACATGCAGAATCCATCTGTAAGGCTGTTAATTCAAGTTATAATGTACCCTTAAAGATGTTTTAGACAGAGCCTGATCAATCCACAGCTTTTCCAGTTGTAATTTCGATTGGCTGTGTGTATCTTATCTGTATTTTCAAAACCTAAGCATGGAACTTGAGTAGGAGATAATTGTGAGTCAAAGAAGTAACTCTGTGAGACAGAATTGGTACCAAATTTGTGTATATTACTTCAGTAACGAATTTTTCAGGAAGAGGGAGCCTGTAGATAATGTATATAAATCATTTTAAATATCAATGGTAAAAGAAAATTTGGCTTTCTTGTAGATTATGAAATTTAATGTGAGGTGAGCCCTCTTCAGAATATTCCATCTCTCATCTGCTGACTGAAATCATAAACATTGTAATTTACAAAACTGTG